GCTTGGTCGTATCCCCTTAAAGGAATCTCTTCCTGATTCCAAGCCTTTGAGCTCTACCCTGGGCCCAGGAGTCCTGGCCCTAACAGGTAAATTTTTTGGGGTATGTAGCTCAGGCCTTTGACCGTAGGGGATAATGTCAATGACAGCCGTCTAACGTCCCAGGGGCAACTCCCTTAAAGCTTTGGTAGAGTTGGTACTTAGTGCTCGCCTGTGGTTTGGCATGCACTCCCCTCAGCATGGTGACGTGGGTATACCATTCCCCATAACGACCCCTAGAGGACGCAGTTCGAAGTTCCCTTGAAAGGAAACGTCTCAGGTTATGTATGTAACCATGGTTCCCTGAGTAGGGAACGAGACACTGCGTCCTCTAGTTTCCCTGCCATGCTTCGGACGCAAGCTTCAGACGAAGAAGCGGATGACGTGTTCTCCCGGTGCCCTTTTATACTGTGATCGCGCAGGGTAATGACGTCATAGGCTGTCGCCGGCCAATGTTATTGTCGTTTTTAGATATATGCTTCAGACACCGGTCACACTGAAGGTGTTCCCCTATAGCGACCCCTAGAGGACACAGTGTCTCGTTACATACGTAACCTAAGACGTTTTTTGGAGAAAATTTTTAATTTCTTAATGTTTTTTTTTTTTTTTACAATGATGCTATGGGAATGCTTGTATGAGCTGGTATCATTATCACTTCAAACCCCTGAAGGTCCTTAGAAATCCCTGGATTGAGTTTTACGCCGCTTCACTCAAGAGATTGAGGAGTATCACCAGAAATACATTCTCCTGTGTTCACCTGGCCAGAGGAGGGAAAATTTCCATCCTCTGAGTTCCCGGAGACATCCGAGTCTATGCGGGAGCGTTTGAAGCGCCGATCGGGATACTGGCTGTTGTCAAAGGGCATGCGGTGAACACACAGCACATGGATCTTCAGGTTACCTTTCTGAGAGGCGCTGTAAGGGCAGTAGCTGCACTGGAATTGCCTCTGACCTCCATGACCTGGAAAAAAACCGACAACATTATCGTCCAGTACAATGTCAGTGAAGATTGTTACACATGCCATACACTTTATCTCAAAAGAATTCAACATTTTGTGCTTGATATTAATCAAAGAGCCCAGATAATTCTTGTGTGTAGTATCTGGTTACAATCACCACAATATGGAAGTTTAATCGTCTGATTCATCAGTATGTATCAAAAGCATGTCCTTGATTCATCCGTGGACAATCTCTGCTGTTCAGATGCAGACGTTTTCTTTGTGCGGTATCCTACAGAAGTTCGAAAGTGCTCTTTTCAGCTTAGAACAAGTACAACTGTTTAAGAGATTGGATCTGATCAAAGGTGCATTGTACACAATGGCCCTTAATAGCCCACACAAGTCTGTTTGAGGAATGCAGATTGCGTGCCTATCATATCTGGCTCTCTTATCGGGCCCATCCACTTAGAGCAAAGCCAGGCACTTTCAGCAATGCGCTACTTTAGAACATTAATAACAGTACATTTGCTCTCCAGTTTTCTCAATTCAATTTGAAAAGCACTAAATCAAATTAACATGGCGGTTTAAAATAGCAGCCGCGATGGTGCGGAGAATGTAAAGTGGCTGCATTAAAGGTGTAGCCGTGACGCAACGTGAAAAATGTAAGCATCCTCAAAGTAAGTGTGCGTACTGTCATCTGCTTGCATATGTGTGTGTTACAAAAAAAAGAAGGATTTATAAGCACTTTGTGTTTGGCTTTGGAGTCTCAGCGGCTTTCGAATACTACAATGTCTGCTGAGGCCTCGCTACAAAGGGGATTGCTACAAGTTTTAGAGCTTTCGATGTTCCAGTTGTCTGATAAGCAATCCGGCGACGCACAATCCCGGCCGTTTCATTCATTCGCACTTTAATTTCACACTCCCTTACATTGCGCTAAGTCTGAGAGGCAGCACATTCTCAAGCCACTTTATATTTACAGTGAACTAGCGTCACCAACTGTAAGTCAGCTTTATTTCTCTATTCTTCTCCTCTATTTTCTTCTCCCCATATTTCGTCTCTTTTCCTGAAGCAGGAAATGTTTAGGCAAACGCAAAGAGAGCTGGGAGCTGTCACAGATTGGTCCAACTGCCTGGAGAATGGAGCGATTTTCAATCAATTTTCAGGATAAACAGAAATAGAAAGACAGAATTAAGAAGGAATATGGAGAGGAGAACATTATGCACACTGTGGCCATGACAGGACAACAGGTAAATGATTAACAGGACTCAGAAAGAAACACAAAAGAAGAAAGCCAATTGACATATAACCTCCATCACAGCTCTGCGTATTCATCCAGAAAAGCTTCCTCCAGCTTCCCTTTTCAAAGTGAGATAATACTGCCCCTTCAGGGTTGCCTATTTGGTGGTCAAAATAATTGTCAACAATGAATCATTTTTCAAGGGGTGTTCTGTGGCAGGGCACATTTTTTCTTATATCAAAAAGGCCATCTCAAAGTGTTTCCCATAATAGTTGCCCCGATTACTTAGAAACTAATTGGGGCAATTTTGGCTTTTTGCTGCACGTTCCTAAATGACAAGAAAAGAAGGGGCAGAGCTGGTTATTTTATGTACAAAGATTACAGTGTGTCATAGTGTGGGTGCCATGCTAGAACACTACAGCATGTTTGTTTTTGAGTGTTTATAGCAAAGTATGCTAACATCTTCCTCAAATTCCTGTCTCTTTTTCTTACTTTAGTGCCCTCAGTCTCTAAAGCATACACACAATATCAATAAACATTTTTGTGTATATTATAGCATTATAACATTAAAAATCAACTTGTAATTTAATCTTAATTAAAATCTAAAAACTAAAATTGCCAATAAGTGATGCTGTTATAATTTATATTATAGGTGAACATGTGTATATGTGAAGCATTACCACAGTGATGGCATCTTTCTTTTTCTTTCTTCCATTCCTCTTTCCAAAGCTCTCCAGTGATTCATATCTACTGCAATTGAGGTGCCAAGTGATGTGAACTAGTATGAAGAATTTTATTTCTCCATTCTCCTTCTCTTTCTCTCCGGTATGTGTCAACCCTTTCCTCATTTTTTTTCACTCTGTTTCCTGAAACTGTGAGTCCTGTGTGAGTAAAATTTCCAATGTACTTGTTACCAATGGTCAATAAATCTTTTGAATGTTTTGTAGCCAAAAAACACACCAGAACACATTTGCACCTCTGTGTACTAAGCTTTGTAAAACAACATATGGAAATGACAGGTGATTTTTATCTTTTCCCTCCTGTTTTTCATACCCCTTTCCATCATTTTCTAACACTGTCTCAAAATAGAGAGAGAAAAAGAGAGAGAAAGAGTTATATTATTCTCAGCAGTGTGCCATTATCACGCCTGCCTAATTAACCCCTGAAGGCCTCATATGTGGAGATCAGAGGGCGAAGGAGAGGAGGAGGAGGGAGAACTGATGACAACACCCACTTCCTGCAAATTCCCCAATATCACTCCATCATTGTCCTTCCTGCCGTCCATCATTCCAAAAATGAAAACAGAACAAAAATAAATGATCACATTTATTCAATCAGTTCACTCGTTTTCTCTGTTCTAGATACACTTTCTTAACTGCTATTGTATTTAGTCTGTATATTTTTAATCGTTATCGTCTCTGAAGACATGTCTCATGCTCCCTCTTGTGGCACCTCCTGTTCTTGCTCTTTCATACTCTTATTTTCATTCTCCTTTTCTTATCTCATTATTCACACACACACACACACACACATTCTAAAAAACAACAAGATGCATTTGAACAGTACGCTTGTGGTAAGCAAGCAGACACAAGCTCACACACACACACACACACACACACACACTGACACTCACACAGACATGGAGGTGCTTTGGCATGTAATCAAAATCAGTCTTATATAAATTCCATCTGATGCCAGAGCTACAATCTGTGAAAGAGTGTTGCCTCTCACCTCTGTCTGTCTGTGAGAAGTCACCCTCTCCAACGCTCAGAAACAAAGATTGTGTACGTGTGTGTGACAGAGAAAGAGCGGGAGAAGGGTGTTGAGGAGGAAAAATGATTAATTTGCAGAATGCTTGTGATTTGCTCATATATTATTATAACAGCTCATCAGCACATGACGAATCCCTTGCCCCACGCAGCAGAAAGAACCTGCAGGGCTTCAGCACTTTTACTGTGTGTGTGTTTACACACCCGAGCATGTGTCCCTGTGTATGCGCGGCATGTCTTTGAAAAAATAATAGCTCATGAGCATGTCATGAATGTCTGTTTCTGCATGTGTGTGACTTTGTGTGAGGGAGAAATTGCATGTATTGCGTGTTGGGATGTTTGTTTGTTTGTTTGTGTGTGTGTGTGTGTGTGTGTGTGTGTGTGTGTATGAATCAGGATTTTCAAATGAATTGGTTAAATTAATTATTCAATGACTGCCACATAAAGACAGTCACTTGTTTCATTCTTGAGTGAATCATTGTTTTAAACAAATCGAATCAATGAATTAATCAATGACTCACTTAAAGTGATGTGACATGTGGCCAAGTATGGTGGCCCATACTCGGAAGTAGTGCTCTGCATTTATCCCATCCAAAGTGCACACACACAGCAGTGAACACACACACATTCCCCGTGACTTATAGTCACCTGTTGCCACCTACTGGCATAATGATGTAACATGCAGAAAGGGTCATTGAAAAACCTCACCACTTATACACAGACTGACAGTCCGTCTAAAGACAGAGTAAAAATTCTGCAGTAAGTACTGTTGGACTGTGCTCGACCAATCAGATTCAAGGACTGGAACAGATAAGTGTTAAATGCATAACTGTGGAGAGTCAACTGGCTCAAAGATCACCTACTGTACGTCTAACTCATTTACTCTCCCTGGGAAATAATGATTTTTGTACTTCATATATTTCTGAACAACACATAATGTGCTTCTGTAAGCAAAACCATTTCTGCCTATAAGATAAAAAAGATACTCTAAGCCATTGTGATATTTCAAAGAATATCTATAATGAATCTGTATCTGTAGGGATGACACAATGCTGTGCACGTGTATGTTTTGGGACAAGGTTTTTCTGCTCTGTGCAGCAAGTGTTGCATATCCATTAGCTTATAAACTTTATTTCTGTGTGTGTGTCTCTGTTTGAGTGTCACCTATATGGAAGAGAAGGAAAAGATAAAGAAAAACAGAGGGAGTGTGTGTCTGGGGAGAACGCAAGCCACAGAAGGTGTGAGCAGTAAAAAGTGATGTACCATCTGTCGGCCAGTAATAACCTGCGTGTTGTAAAGGCTGGGAGATTACTCAGCAAAGAGAGCTTCCAAACACCCAAATCCCCCCGCAACGTTAGTGCGCCACGCACTATCTCTCCCCACCTGCTCCCAAAACCCTGCTGAGGAAGATTCCACACTAAATCCGACATCGCAACTTCAGATCCACTCCCAGTAAACACAAAACAGGCAAAGACGCTGCTACAATAGACAGGCATCAAGCTGAACATCTTTACACCTGCACTGTGCTCAGTTGCATAATCTACCGTAGTTAAGTTTTATCATTATAAACTTTAAATGCATTCACATAAATATCAAGAGATTTCCACACAGAAACAAGGAACAGTTTGGACTGTTAATGAGCGTCTAGTCGAAATATTTCTCAGACTGAAAATAAAAGCTATGGGAGATTTTATAGCACCAAATGCAGCTCTAATGGAAATCGGTTCATAGTTGGAGAACTGATGCTGTAGTTTGGCTCTCTGGGGAAAAAAAGAAAAAAAAACAACACGGAAAAACTTGGATTTGGCGTTGTGTGTGTATGTATCAAAAGCAATCTCTAAAAGCTCCACTGGGGAAGCAGCTCCCATGTTAAACACTGAACTAGATTACAAACTGCTGCAGCAGACGTACCTCTTAATACACTCTCTGTTTCTCAGCTATACATTTCCCAGTCTGCATGCCACTATATCTCTTTTCAATCTTCCTTACTTGGCTTAATTTCTCTCTTTTCTGAACA